ATTTTAATATATAATTTTTGCGTATCATTTTAGTGCTTGATTTTTGTGTTTACTTTACGTGTTATATTTTTGTATTTCATTTGTGTGTTTAATATTTGTGTTAGCTTTTTTTAATTTAATTTCGTATTTAAATTATGGTACCTAAAAATGTATTTGGCATTTTAAAGAAAAGTAGTAAAAAAAATAGTAAAGGTGAAAGTAGTAGTAATCCTAATCCTAACCCTTCTCCTCGACCTAGAATTAGAAAACATATTGATGAAATGACTCACCACTAGGAGCGATGACGGCATGGAGCTCATGGAACATCAATCAACATTGCCAATTCCAGCAGAATGTCCGAGAGAATTGATAAGTTACAAAGAAGCTATATAGGAGCTTACAAATATTAGTATGATAATTTGTAATTGGCTACTAAGAGGCCTAGTTCAAAGAGAATCCTTCCTAGAAGGTGGCTGCGTAGATTAGGTGCTCTTTGTATTTGAGATTTGAAAATTCTATTAATAAAATAAAAGACTCTAAGCGTTGAATTTTGTTTATGAATTGTCTTAGTTACTTAATAGTTAATACTTTGAAATTATAAAATAAATTATAACTCTATTATAAATTTATAATTACTAGAATATTTCATTACAAGTCTTTTGTTTTAATATTTTATAATTCTTTACTTAGTTTTCTAATTTTCATTTTAACATAGTAACATTTAAGTTTATTAAATAAGTCAAAAATCTAGCCGTTGCAAACTTTAAAAACATAGTAATTTTCAAAAAACTAGACGTTTTTTTTTAAAAAAAAATACACTTAAGGCCCACGAACCCGTCCCATCCCGTCCCACCCCGTTTGTTAGCGGGACGGGATGGGACGAACGTTTCGTCCCGTCCCGCTTAAATGTCGTCCCATCCCGTCTCGTTAATTTGGTCCCGTCCCGTCCCGTTGGATAGCCATGGTCAAAACTGGTCAAGACCCAATTCCTTTTACACTAAGCAAACTTTTAGCATGTTCAATCCACTATACAGATTACGTAGCTTCAATTTTCAAATACATAAAAAACCAAATCTTTAAATGTATAATACCATGCTTCATAGCTATTCAATTAGTGATGACCCACAAAAGAATCTTGTGTTTTGCAATTACGCGAGGAAACAAAATTTAATTCTTGATCAATTTGCTTTTACTTCTGGACTTAGATCTTGTATATGGACTGGTGAAGCTATTCAGTTGTTTTGAGGTCTGAGTTTGATTTGTTTCTTGATTTGAGGAATACCTTTTTGAACCTTTATTGTGTTTGTGGAAGAATCTCAATTTTCAACTGTTTGATGAATTTTCAGAGACGGATTTGGTTTTCTTGGAACACTTTGATGGGTGGTATCTTTGTGTGCATAATCATTCTGTTGTTTTCGGTTTGTTTGTAGAATTGCATTGGGATGGTGTTTCTGCTAGTGTGATACAATCTAGGGAGAATCACATCTCAAAAGCTAGCTATTAAGGTAGGAGAGTCCAAGGCTATATAAACCCCATATTAGTACTTTGTAGTACCGATGTGGGACTCAAGTCTCATTCCTAACAATAGATCGTAACAAACCACCATGCTCCGTATCCGTCGTACTCGACGGCTGTGTGCTAGACATTTCTAGCCCCAGGCGAACACTGCAATATCGGCGTCACCATCCGAGGCACGGTGGGCACAAAGGGTGGTGGGTGACTCTGACACCATTCATACAACCTAGGAAGAACCATACCCAAAAGGTAGCTATTGAGGAGGGAGAATCCAAGGCTATATAAGCTCCACATGAGCACTTTGTAGTACCGGTTTGTTTGTAGAATTGCATTGGGATGGTGTTTCTCCTAGTGCCGCGATTATGTTGTGTGTTTCGTCTGCGATTGGTGAGGTGAAGATTGCCTTGGTAGGGGATCCCCTGCATGGGTGGGACCTGCTTGTTGCGAAAGCCAAATGTATAGAGTGTGAATAAGTCACAACTACTATACCAAAAATTATGACAGCCACCAAATAATAAATAAGACAATAAAGCAATAATAAAGGGAACACCAGAATTTACGAGGTTCGGCTAATTTTGCCTACTCCTCGGACACAACCAATATTTTATTCCACTCCAAAAATACAAGTGAAATAATACTAAAGAGAGAAGATACAAATGCCTTAAACAGATGAGAAGGCAAATGAGAGGTGTGTTTCAATCCTAAACATTAGGCCTTCTTTTATAGGGGAAAAATCCCCTCCAAACTTAACTCCCAACCAATGTGGGACTTTGGCATTTTGCCAAACTTCAACACTGCTGACCTGGCAGCTGATATAAACAAATTAATAGAAGGGTTCGATGCCACTGAATTGAGGGCAACTATAAATATTTTATTAATGGTGAAGATAGATCGGGATGAAAAGTATAACTAAGGGCAAATGTAAACCATATGCTATAGCGGCAAATGTGTACCTTTTCCCAATCCAAAAACAGTAAAAAGCATGACGAGGAATAACAAACTTTAACGGCTACATGTCACCTATGGCGCCAATCCATTCTCTCTCTCTCCCTCTCCATGCAATGAGTCAAATTTCTGGCTATAACCAATGTTTTAAAAAGAAAAAAAGATGACAAATGTTGAACCCATAAACACAACCAAAAATACCCTCTTCTTTTGGAAAAATCCTCTTTCCTCCACATATCTCGCCGTTTCTCATAGGGTCATCAAATCTTTGACCCTCCCAAAATGTGCTGCTTCCCTAAAAATAGCTCAATTTTTTTTTTTTTAATTTTTGGAACAACAATCTTTTACAACCAAGATTCAATAATGAGCTAATGTAGGGACTTCAATTTTGATCCTTATTTTTCTCTCTTCCCCCCTCCCCCTGTGTGTGATCCTTTTTTCCCATAAGAGTTTTTATTCCTTTGATGGGGGGACATGGGTTGTGTCAGCTCCAAGCAGGCCACGGCCCATTCCCCGCCACACCACAATTACGATTCCTCCTCTATAAAAACTGCTGTTATTAACAGAAATGGAGAAGTTATTAAAGATCCCAATTTGCAGCATGTTAATAAGAGGGGATTTGGCCCTCTGGAGAAGATTAAAGAGGAACCCGAGAAGGAGAAGGCAGAATCTTTAATTCGAAGGAATTCCTCGAATTGTAGGGGTTCCAAGAAAGGGAGCAATGAAAAAAAGGCTAATTTTAGTATCAAATTTGGAAGGTTAACAGAAGGAGAACATTTGGCTGCTGGTTGGCCCGTGTGGCTCACTGCCGTCGCGTCTGACGCTATTGAGGGTTGGCTGCCCCTTAGATCAGACGCGTTCGAGAGGTTAGAAAAGGTAATTAATGTCCCGTTTAATCAGACCCGGATCCAGAATTTAAATTTGATGGAGTTCAATATTTAGGTTCAAACTTTATGGGTTCATAATTTAATATTTGTTGAAGTTTTAGTGATTTTCATGTATATATCTACATTTCGTGGCTGAAATAATGAGTTCCCTTGAACCATGCATTATATGCTCCATCCGCCTCCGCGGCCTCGATTAGATGGAATACGGTTTTGTTGGTTCAATGAAAAACACAGCTGGAAATGGAATGTTTGAAATGGAACAAATGATATTGAAGAATTATGTAGTTGATTCCAACTAGTTTGTATTGAGGTGTAGTAATGATGTTGATTATTGTAATGAAAACACAGTTTCTTGTGGAGAAAAACCTTGCATTATCTATGGTACAATTTTTCTGATCCTCAAAATGGATACCGTGTTTTAAAAATTGGTGTATCTTTCTAATGTCATTCCATACCATGATACCAACAGGATGAGCTACATATAATTGACTTTCTAATTATTTTAATCTCGAGCTGATAATGTTTTTGGTTGGTTTATTTATCTCCACATTCTTATGGCTATTTCTTTTATTATCTTGTTAGTGTCCTACTTATTTATATTTTCAAATTTGACAACATATTTAGGCCTTGACCGCCTAATGCATTGAGACACTGACACTAGGACAGGCTATTTCAGTTGTATATCATCATTTAATGACTGCAAAATATTTTTCTTCTTACAAATAGTTTGTTCTGCCTTCTACATTTGTAGATTGGACAAGGTACATACAGCAGTGTTTATCGTGCACGTGACATCGAGACTGGTAAAATGGTTGCCCTGAAGAAGGTGAAATTTGACAATTTCCAGCCAGATAGTGTCAGATTTATGGCCCGAGAAATAACAATTCTTCGCAAACTTGACCATCCAAATATCATGAAGCTGATTGGAATAATCACTTCTCGGTTATCATGCTGCATATACCTTGTTTTTGAATACATGGAACATGACCTCTCTGGACTGTTGTCATGTCCTGACATCAAGTTCACTGATTTACAGGTTTGTTAATATTTAAGCTATGACTCTCTAGTCTCTACCATTAAATTTGGTGTTAAGGTCACTGTTTGAATTTCTTGACTTGCAAAAAGGAAAAGAACATCTCAAATTTTTGTTTCTTTTTTTGGATGGAAGTAGATCAAATGCTATATGCGGCAGCTGCTGAGTGGACTAGAGCATTGTCATTCTCGAGGTATAATGCACCGAGATATTAAAACATCCAATGTTTTGATAAACAATGACGGAATTCTAAAGATAGCAGATTTTGGTCTTGCAAATTTCCTTAGTGCTAGGCACAAGCAACCACTAACCAGCCGCGTAGTTACATTATGGTATCGACCTCCTGAACTTCTGCTGGGATCCACAAATTATGGGCTAACGGTGGATTTGTGGAGTGCTGGTTGTGTTTTTGCAGAACTATTTTTCGGGAGGCCTCTCCTGAAAGGGAGGACTGAGGTATGTGGTTTTAGAAGTTTAGAATTGCTTTTGATAACATTTCCTACTAGGAGATCAATGAATAAAGTCTTGAAAATGATGGTTTGCTTGTATGTTAATCCTATGCCAAGTAACCTTGTGATGTTACTGATTTTAGTCAATTATGAAAAAGTTTGGTTCTCTACTTTTTGCAGGTTGAACAATTGCACAAAATATTCAAACTCTGTGGTTCTCCATCTGACGAATACTGGAGAAAGTCTAAACTTCCACTTGCAACAATTTTTAAACCCCAACATCCTTATGAGAGTACACTTCGAGATAGATGTAAAGAATTACCAAAAACTGCTGTCAACCTTATAGAAAAACTTCTTTCAATTGACCCTCACAGACGTGGAACTGCTTCATCTGCTATTGATTCTGAGGTAAGTCTTCATTCAGATAGCAGTACGTGAATCTTTTTCTCATTGAAAATTTTCATTTTTACTCAAAAATCTCCTTCTTTTGTTTTTTCCCTTGGCACTACTGAAGACTGAGTGTCCTCGAGCTATCTCAGTTTTTTGTGGATGTCCTGTTTCCAAATTCAACACAATTCTCCCAACATGCTAATATTTTGGTTCAACATTTGTCGTATACCTTTCTGCAGTATTTCAATACAAAACCTTACGCTTGTGATCCATCAAGCTTGCCTAAGTACCCCCCAAACAAGGAAATTGATGCAAAGTTCCGAGAAGAAGCACGGAGGTGAATTCCTTTCTTCTTTGTCCTTCACAGAAAGTGTTTTCTGCTTGTAGTTCCTCAAATTGTCGGCTTGTCATCTGGATGGTACAGATATACTAATGTAGTAAAAGCCAACAAACTTAATCTGCATGCATTTGTATGCACAAAAAGAAAGATGATTCTTCGCTGTTCCTTCACTGGTTCGAGTACTAGTTCAACATTATAGCTTAAACATATCTATTTCATCCATCTCCAACTGCTTAATTTGGAGAAACTCCACTCCTATGATTTTGCACTTATCTTCCCCTCAGTTTAGAAGCTTAATCTGATCTGCAACCTCTTACATTTTCAGAAAGAAGGCCAGTTCCACAATGAAAGCATCTGGAGCTTCAAGAGATTCAAGAAAGGTGCAAAAAGATCTTCAAAAATCGAGCAACTTCGGCATAGTTGCCTCAACTGAGGTCTTTGTCCAGTCTCTCATACAGATACATTGCATATTGATGGTACATTGACACGCTTCCTTTTTATTTATGAAGGAATCTGAAGTCAATATCCACAATGGTCGTAGAAACAATGGTGGTAGTGGTCATATTTCTAAGGGAAAAGGAGCTACCGTGGCACGTATATCAATGAAGCCATCTTATGATACAGTGTCAGAGGTTTCTCAGACGACCGAAGAATCTCAGGGCGAAAGCATTCGATCTGTCCCTGCTCAAATGGCAGCGTCAAGTGGGGTTACCTGGGCGAAAAAGAGAAAGCAAGATTCTGCAGCCACAAGGCCACATCCACAGGCCAATTCAAGAAGTCAAAAGTTGATTGCCTTTGACCTTTCCAATGTACTGCATGCTGCAGATACCTCGGATTTAAACATGCAAGGTAGTTATGATTTTTCGAGCAGGATCAACACCGAAGACAGAGGCCACAACAATGACGCCACGCATTCTATTGGCAGGCAATATACTCACGAGTCTCAAGAATTGTCAGAGGTTAGTATTCTCGATCTATTATACAATAACAACAACGACTACACCTTAGTTCCAAACAAGTTAGGGTCGGTATGTGTATCCTTAGAGATGTTATTGCATTTCAAAAGGCAAGTCTTTATTAGCAACAGAAGTCAGTCTGTGAACTCCGCTGGTTGAGGGCCTTCTGAAACAGGAGGATTGGACCTACGATGAACCTTTCCTTCTAACTGGAGTAACTTAAATATCATGTAATGCAATAAAAGTTTAAATTTTTTTGCTGCTGCTGCCATGTTACTTGTGAAACCTGGTATTCGTAAAGGCCCACAAGTAGCAATATTACAGAATATCTGTGTTGGAGATAAAGCTGTATATCTTTCTAAATGAAACAGGACTACAATGACAAACAAAGAAGGGTTGGGTTCTCAGGACCATTGATACAACAGAGGAGTGATGCAAAGCGCGATAATCAAACTCGCCAAGATGGTCGCAGATCCCGGTTTTATAGAGGTAAAGACATTCTATATCTGGTAGTTTCTCTTTCTCACTGCAGAAAATCCATAAAGAACCATTGCTATTTTATAGAAACCTCAGCCAAATTTGGTTTCTTCTGTAGATTTATAATGAGAATGAGCTAGAAGTGCATCCTGCATCCCTTAGCCAGTGAAGTGACTCGGGAGAACTTTTTGTTGATCGAGAAAGAAAATCAAAGTCTGTTAAGCAATGTGGCCTTTTCGTTTCATTTTTGCCCTGGCCACTCTATTTATGAATTGGCCTCGGTGAACTCTGACCCTTGCGACTTTATTTTTTTTCTGGCAAATCATTTGGGAAACTAGTAAAGAGATCGTGCAGACAAAGACATTGACTGGTGAAAGAGATACTCCTACTAGTTTTTATACCAAATATGATGGAATCGCCAGAATCTTGATGCTGAATCCTGAAAGTGGTTGGAAGAATTGGAATATGATAATATGCTGGAGAATCGCAACATGTATCCCCTGAACCTTTTTTCCTTCCATTTCTTGATTAGTGTCTAGGCTTCCCTCATTGTAACTGGAAAATATGTACACACACACATATGTTCCATTAGTTCACATGTTTATATATTATATACTACAAATTCCAATATTCCACCATCCTTTGTGTCTTTGATAATTTGTGTATATATCTATTCGGATACAATTGATTATACGGAAGAATGTCGATAGAGGATGGGACAGAAAGAGATATGATCCGTTATCACAAACCAAATGAGTTACTTTGATCTACAAAGGTTCCAACCTGGTAGAAGAATTTGCCATTGCAATACGGCGTTATGCCTTAAAGAAGGCTCTTGATAATACCATAGATGTTGGAGTATTTTGACTTGAAAGTTGTTATACTCTTGTATGTACATACAAGTGACATCACATGTTAATGATTTACATATAATCCATTGTAGGCGTTTTTTTACGCTATCAGACCATTTAAAAGGTAATTGCAACTAATCATAACAAGTGGAATTAATTAGTAACTTAAAGAAAAGATAAGTTGCCTTCTATTCTATAGAAGGTTAAATTACGCGGATAGTATAAAAATATCATTGCACTATTTAGTGGATATAATTTAAATCCTTACGTATAACAAAGAGAGTAGAACTTTGAATGATGTTTATTCTCACATTCAAAAGTGTGAAAACACGTCAGAGATGCTTAAGGCTGTAATGGAAGTAAGTAGAATACATGCTCTATCGACAAGGGTTGAGTTTGCTAATGAGCGTGAAGTTGTGAAATATTGAATCTGTCAATTTACACCATGAACGAGTGAATTGTCACTCGACTAAGCTCCATTGAAGAGCTCTAGAAGCTTCGCGTGAGAAAGAGGAAGAAGACCGATTTCAGAAATGAGAAAATGAACTACTTTTGTATTGTTATGTAACAGTGTATATGTACACATTAGTACAGGACAAAATTAACTAACTCTAACTGACAGCTAAGCTGAGCCACTAATTAACACAAACCAACACTAACTAACTGTAACTAATTGTACAACACGTAAAGCTAAAGGTACAAGGTATAAAAGCATGAAACATAAATACATCTCAATACTCCCCCCCTCAAGTTGGAGGTAAAAGTTTCACACCCAACTTGTTTAAGAGGGCAGAATGTTTGACACCTGTGAGAACTTTGGTAAGTACATCTGCTAATTGAGTAGCAGTAGCAATGTGATGTAAGGAAATGAGGCCCTCATAAAGCTTGTCTCTCACAAAATGACAGTCGACTTCAATATGTTTAGTTCTTTCATGAAAAACAAGACTTCTAGCTATGTGCAAAGTAGATTGGTTGTCACAAAAGACTGAGACTGGTTTAGGGTAAGAGATAGTAAGTTCATGAAAAAGTTTGCACAACCAAGTCAGTTCCCCTTCAACTTTCCTCAAAGACCTGTATTCTACTTCTGCAGATGATAAGGAAACTGTTTCTTATTTCTTGGATTTCCAACAAATTGGACTGTTCCCCAACAGGACTATGTATCCAGTAACTGATCTCCTAGAATCTGGGCAGGCTGCCTAATCTGAGTCATAGTATGCTTTCAGACTACAATCAGAATCATTGGACAGAAAAATTCTTAGAGTGGGATCACTTTTCAAACACCTAAGCAGATGGAAGGCAGCTTTCAAATGTGGTTCTCTGGGATCCTACATGATTTGACTGAGATATTGTACACTGGAAGCTATGTCTAATCTGGTATTTGTAAGAAAGTATAACTTTCTCACAAATTTTCTGTAATATGTAGGATCTGATAATGGTTTTCCCTCTTTGGCCATCAGCTTCTCATTGGGATCAAGATGAGTAGAAAGACTACTGTATGGGAGGCAGTCATATTCCTTAAGCATGTCCCGAGCAAACTTTCTTTGTTAAATGATCACACCATCAGCTGTATACAAAACCTCCAAGCCAAGGAAAATGTTACACCTTGTGTATTCGACGTTATCATACTGTAAATGGGCTAATTCGATAGGAAGATAATTTCTATGAGATATTTAAATGATGCGATAGTTATACGTTAAGATTGGAAGTCATTTGAGTTGTGATTAAAAATTCGACAAAGATCGCGCGCAAGTTACGGGTTTAAATTTCACTGAAATTTGTATAAAATGTTGATGAACTTTTCTCTCAATAATATACTAGGAGTTATGGTGTGTTCTACCTACCGAATCGAAGGTCTATGAGTATAGTTTCCAACGCAATAAACTGTTCGTTAATACGACTTTGGAGTAGAGAGATATTAACATTTTCGTACAGGGGTGCACACTGTTATGGGAACAGTGTGCCCAGTCGGGTTTGTTAAAATTTCTTTATTTAAGTCAATTTTTAAAACAGAACCCCTGCATTTTTTTTCCTCTCCAAAACAGAACCTAACACCTAGGGATTTCCTCTCAAACTCCTCCCATACATCTAGCCAATCATAACAACAATTTAGTCATCTTCAAGATGGAGAACACCATGGTAGCTTCGAAATCGTGAATTCTTCGGTGTTTCACTTTTCATAGCAAGACTCCGCCTTACAGAAATTTCGAATTTTGAGTAATTCTGGTCACATAAGGTATGATTTAACTTCCTCTTTGATCTTTGTAAACTTCTACCATAAGAATTCCTAAGAAATAGTTGAAACCTCTATAGAAATGTTCTTGATTTTGTTAAGAAACCTCTCTTAATATGGCTTGATTGTTGGGGTTGTTCTATATGGTTTTATTGTGTTGTTTGGATCTGTGAAGACATGGATGGAATTCTGTCGATGAGGAGATGTAGTAAAGTAAAATTTGGTGGTGTGTTGGGGGGAAATTAATCTACAAAAGAGTCTACAAATTCATGGCCACAAGTTGTTCGCGTAAATGTCTAAATGAAGAATTATTTAAGCTATGAGCTTGAATTTGATTTTGAATGGTTTGTATTATGTAGGAAATCATTCCTAAGGCTTTTGAGGTCTTGGAAACAGTATATAACTCCATCGACAAGGTATGTAGGGCTTTCGCTATACTTTTCGGCATGACTAGAATTCGAATAAACGTTTATCGAATTGTCTCGTCGGATTCGAGTTATTTCACCTTCAACTTATAAAGATGCTTAGACCTGATCTTTTCTCATAGATTGCTTACTCTAGAGGATATATATGAATTCTCGGATTTCCTTGTTCCTTGCTTAAAAAGAACTAGAGCCTTTTTACTCATTCTCCTTTCGACGTTCATATAAATCATGAATAAGTAACATTTACTTCAAAGGTACTCATAATAAATAACTCTCATGTTCTTAGTACTTTTTGGCTCGTATTTGAAAATTAAATATTTTTATTCACAACCATGATAGTCGGGGAATAATGATGATAGGTCATTTCGACTCTTCTTAGAATATGTCTTTTAAGGTTAGTTTCGCATTGCACCTATATAATTCATGATTTAGTATATGTATGTATTTACTTTCATTATCGAGTCGCACTATAGACGGCCAGGTATGACACATATTGTGTAACCACTGATCAGTTGGGATTACCGAGCNGTTGGGATGTGACAGAAATAATGTAGTATTCCCAGATCTTTGATCTTAAACTGATCATGTAAGAAAAGTTTAAGCTGAACAATCTCTGAAAGATCGGTTTGTAGAAGAGGGAATAATCATTCAAGGAGTACACATATCCCCTTGAGCATAGAGCTTCAATCGGCTTAGAGTACCATTGTCTGCTTTCCTGTTTAAGGCCATACAATGACTTGTTCAACTTGCAGACCAAGCCTGGAGAATCAGTTTCTAGCCCTAGTTGCATCTGCATATACACGTCCTCATGGAGATCTCCATGGAGGAAAGCATTATTCACATCCAACTGAAAATTTTTCCATTATTTCTTTACTACTATAGCTATAAGAGCTATAACTGTTGTCATCTTTACAACATGGCTGAAGGTCTCAATGTAGTCTATGCCTACTTGTTGAGTATAGCCCTTCACTACCAACCTAGCTTTGAATCTTTCTACTGTTCCATCATTTTTGTGTTTTATCTTATAAACCCATCTGCAGCCAATGGCTTGTTTACCACTTGGTAAGGGTACAACATCCCATGTATGATTTGCATGTAATGCCTCATACTCCTGAGTCATTGCTGCTTGCCATGCTGGATTGAGTGCAACTTTCTCATATGAAGATGATTCACAGTCATTGCAAACATTCATTACAAGTAATTGACTATCATGGATTAAGGATGTAGGTGAGATGTGACTGTTTAAGGAAAATAAGGCATTAAGAGAAGTGGGGGATGTTGATTGATCATTAGTTACACAAGGAGGAGTGGATTTCAATTGAGGTACAGTGTTGATAGGTTACAAGTACCTTGTTTTATGTTTTGATGATCTAACAAACTTACTGTCAAGAACCAGATAAGGAACCAGTTACGTATCCTCAAGACCTTAAGATCAAAAGGTTCCAGCTTGGGATATGCTTCAACTCTTCAGAGTCATAGGAACAACAGAGGGAACAGATAGCTATCATTTCCAGAGGAAACTACACAAGTCAACTGCCCCAACTGTAAAGTTACTGCCTGCACACGCTACAGTGTAGAAACAGTGCATCAGCCAATTTTATGGGGAGTGTCTTTTACCTACCTTTCTTACATCATCCCAAGTGATGTCACAAATGTCTTATTAACATCAAGGAAGGTAAAACAAAGATTTCAACACTTAGAGAATACACAAAAAAGCTCTCTCACATGATTCATCATCCAGCAAGCACTTCTCAAGTGCATCAAAAACAAAGAACAACACGACTACGGACCAGTTCCCATATCAAGTTATTGTATGTCCTTAGTTGAGTTGTAACTTTGTAATAGTTCTTTAAGTGTAATTCCTACTTAGCTTGTTTAGAAATATTCTGTAAGAAACCCTTTGTAAATCTTAAACCCTTGTGTTTGAGTCTTGGCTAGAGTTAGTCGAGTTGTAAAGTATTTGTAATAAAGTTATTATAAAGTGGCTTGTAATAGAGTATTACAAGTTAGTAAGGTATTAAAAGGTTAATTCCTAAGTTGCATAGGTTGTAATCTAAAACTTGCTCAGTAGTGAAGTTGAAATCCTAGAAGGGTAGGTCATGATTTTTAATCCCGTTGAGATGGGAATTTTCCACATAAAATT